GGGGGGGGGGGGGGGGGGGGGGGGGGGGGGGGGGGGGGAGAGGGGGGGGAGAGAGGGGAGAGAGAGGGGAGAGAGGAGAGGAAGAGAGAGATCTGTTAGGCCCCAGAAGTCAGAGTCCAGCCTCCGTCATGGGGAGGAGATGCAGCCTTCCAGGGAACATTCAGCATCCGGAGTGCCCTTGGTGGGCCCTGAGCTCCTCTACAAGGGGGTTGAATCTGAGCAGGCCTATGGACCCAAAAGGGCTTGAGCTGCTGGGTGTGAGAAGGGCTCACGGGGCATGGTCTACGCCGCTCGGCTTTATTCCTGTTCTTCTAGAGTTTTGAATTGTCCTCCACCCCCACTCCTGACTGAATTCCACTGACCTGCAGCAGGTGGTGTTTTCCGTGGGTAGGTGCTGAGTCTACGGGGAGTCATTTACCAAAGCTAAAGCTGTAGACCCAAGGGGCGAGCCCTGAGACCTACAAGAGGTGCCAGGCTTGGGGAGGAAGGGACGGGGAAGCAAGGGACAGGGAGAAAGCCGCTTCCCTCCCGAGCCCGTCCGCTGCCAGACCCAGCCATCATTTCTCCCGTTCATCCCCTTCTCTCTGCTCACGCAGCCTCCCCCCACTTCAGGCCCTTGTCACCTTTTGCCTGCACTGCTCCTGTGGCCTCCTGACGGGTCTCCCTGGCGTTGCTCATGGCAGAGGGCAGCGATGCCCAGGCTACTGCCCTACTCTGAGAAACACCAGGACTTCCTTTGGGTCCAATGACATGAGGTAAACTCCCCCCACGCCCCAGCAGCTGAGGATTCCTGCCTCCTCTCGGCTCGTCTCCTGCCTCCACACTTTAGGTCCTGGTTGTCTCCCCCGCCCCCATGCCTGGAAGGCGCTTGCTCCTTATTGCTGCCACAGTTTCTCTCTTCCTTCAAGTGCAGTGCCAATGCCACCTTCTCCAGGAAGCCTTCCATGATCCCCCCCTTCCCCAGCTCCTTTGTCCTGATTTTGGATATATTTGTTCCGTGCAGACTCGGTCTACACATTGTCTGTTCTCCTTCGGCCACGAAGCCCATCGGAACCCTTGGCAGGGAATGGCCTCCTCTAACACTGTTTCACAAATTCGAATTTCAACAGAAGCAGTGAGGTGGCAGAGCAGATGGAGGTCTGGGCTTGAAATGTGGCCTCACACACTCATGTGCTAGTCCATTGACATCTCTCAACTTGTTACCTCATTTGTAAAATGGGGACACATGAAGCCCCATCCTCACAGGGTGTCAAACACTGTGGAGACCTTGGTATAGTCCCAGATTCAGCCACCATCACATCGTTAGCCATGACTGAGAAGCAGGCCTCAGACCTGGGTTCGAGTCCTACCGCAGGCCCACTCGAGGTAGCCAAGATCGTGGGTGACCGGGAAGGGCCGAGTTTGCTCCCGGAGGCACTCGGCTCCGGTCCCTGTCCTCCCCGCCCCAGCGGATGAGGTCTGGGCAACCTTGGGTTTCGGCCATGGCCTTCTGGCGCTTGCTACCCAGCAAGGCTCCTGTGCGGCCCGTCTGTCCTCCCCCCGCCTGGTGCTGAAAAACCAGCGTGGGTTCAGAGGGGAGGGCTCTGCACGACCCATCCCGAGGCGCTTCCCTTGGCAAAGGGCCTGGCAATGACAAGGACTCAGGCAGTGAGTGGAGGGTGGAAAACAAGCTTCCTTTATATACAAGACCAACTTATTTACAACAACCAGATGTGAACTATGTACATTAAAATACAAGAGGCATTTGTTTCCATGGTAATCACTATATAAATTAAGATAATAAATATGAGGAGGAGGGTCCCATCCTAAGGCACGAAACCTCGGCTCTAAGACCAGGACCCCGCGTTACCTCCGTCCCTCGGGCAGGACCCCCGCGCACTGCAGCGGGGACTCCAGAGGAACAGCCACGGCCAGCCTCCCTGCTCCTCAGGACCGGGGCGACAGAGTCCGTCGTCACCCATGTGCAAGAACAGTGACATGACAACGTCCTGAACAGCATCAGCCCGTGGGCTGCTGCTGACTTCTTCGGGAGACAGTCTGTTTACAGTACACACACTTGTTTAAAAAAGAAAACCACACAACTTTACGTAAACAATCTTTGTTTTTGTTTTTTTTTTTTACCACGGATAATACACATTTTAAAATAATACTTTCACCAACAACAGAGAGCAAAGGCTTGTCCTTGGCGCAGGGTGGCGGGGGAGGCTCCTGGCCAGGGTAGCTTCGAGGCAGGCTGGGAAATTCACTAGTGATGGAGCGAAAAGGGGTGTGCGTGGAAGGGGGCGTCCTTGCTGTTGGAGCCTGCAGCCTCCTGTCTGTATCCCATCCGTAGGAATTCTCAAATTTGGGGAGCTTGGGAAGATCTAGGAGGGAAGAGGGGGCCCCCTCTGCGCATCCTGCCTGTCTGGACCCCATGTGGCCGGGGCCGCTGGGCAGCACTGCCCTGGGCCTATTTCTGTATCTGCACGATGACCTTAGGGTTAGCTCATTGGATCTGAGGTGGTCAGATGACGAGGCCTCATATAGGGGAGCCGCAGCACGTCCCAGACAGTCCTCAGATGGCGGGTGCTGGAGGCCCCCCCCCCGCCCAGTCAATGTGGTTGGCGGGCACAGAGGAGCCTCCGCGCCAACTATCAGAACCTCGGAGGGCAGCTGGTCCGACTGGCACCCACTTACGGGTCCCTTCTAGAATACGCCCCCCCCCCAGCTTTTGCTGGAAGAGCCCACCTCTCCTTTCGAAGGTCTCTGACAACCTCTGTGTCTGTGCAGGCTCCAGCATGCCCTGGTTGTGTTACCCTAGGAAAGTCACCTAAGCCCTCTTAGCTTGTTTTCTTATCTGTAAAATGGGGGCGTTTCTACCAAGCCTGACCTCATGGGGACGTGGGCAGTGATCTGCAAACTTTAGAACCTTAGTGACCCACGGACACTTCTTTCACCCTAATTCTGGTTTTCTTGGGAAGAGACTCCATGGGCTCCTTCCTGACCCAATCCCTTCGAAACTTAAGAAACTCTCCTCCCTGAAGCCCCTCTGGCTGAGTCTCGTGGCCACGTCGTCCTACGCTTGCTCTACAGGCTGGAACACTGGTGGGGAGGGCAGGGCCGCACTTTTCTGCCCGAGATGGAGGATGATGGTCAGCCATTCTCCACCAATGTTCATCTGCCATGGGCCTAGACCCTGCGGCTCCTACCACCTGACCCCCAGTTCAGAGATAAGGAACCAAAGCCTCCCAGTGGGCCTGTGACCAGATCCTGAATCCCTTGCCCCCCATTCCTATCCCAATCCTGATCTTTCCCTTCCATCATCGTCCGTCTGTGACAGTCATTCAACGGGTTCTCCTGCACATGGGCCTCCTGGGCTGCCTTCCTCCTCCATCCCCGGGAAACCTCGCCAGGTCTTCTCTGGGTCCCCGCCGAGGGCCTGCTCTCTCTGCTGTACCCCCATCTCTGCCATCTACAACCTAGGCGACGGAGCCAGGACAGAATCTGTGTAGCTCAGGGGTAGCTGCACTCCTGAGGAAGCCCGGAGCTAGGCCCCCAAATCCTAAAAGAGCACGGCTCTTGATCAGGGATAGTGGGAAAAAGAGAAGGGGAATTGGCAGAGGATGTCAAATGTCCAGATTTTCAGGAAGGGAAGGAAGAAGTAGACTGCATTATCCTAGGTAAGCAAGTCTGCCGTCACCTCGAAGCGCAGAGTGACAGGTCAGCACCCAGAGGAGGAAGCCCTCGAGATTCAGCATCTCAGGTGGAGCTGCCCCGAGGGGCTGCGATCTGCATAAGCAAAGGGATGGCCCACACTGACCACGCTCAATTCCTCAACGGGACCCTCCAGACAAGGCGATGAGTGAGAGCCAGAATGGGGTCCAGAGACAGGAGGGAGGGTGTCAGGGCAGAGAGGTGTCCATCCACTGTGGAAAGGCTCAGCAAACTCTAGCACATCAACATGGTGGAACATCAGTGCTCCGCAGGAAATGACGACTATGGAGAATTCAGAGAAGCCTGGGAAGATTTAGATGAACGGATTCAGAGTGAGGTGAGTGGACCCAAGCAGAGACACAACAATAATGTGAATTGAAATAACAAAAAACTGAAATGAAACTCAAGGTAATTCTAATGACCGAGTCTGGCTCAAGGGAAGAGATGGGAACATGCAGGTCCCTCGATGGGACACAGCAAACACTACCGGACTCAGTCGACGGGTTGGCTAATTTTGCGGAACTGCTTCATAATTCTAATGGCCAAGCTCGGCCACGGAGAAGATGAGAATGTGGGGAGCCGTGGGCACGGAATGCTGAATAAACCGTTTCTGTAAACGTCTGTTGTAAGAGAAAGTGTGCTGGGCAGCAGTTGGGGACATCCAGAAATGAACGGGATGTCCAAACAAAATGGATCAATGATTAAAAAAAAAAAGACGCCTGAAATACTGAGTGTTTTGAAGAGCCAGAGAACAAGCTAGGCCTGGCCAACAAAGGCCCGGTTTTGGGCAGGGACAAGAGACTGGGGGTAGATTAAGGAAGCCCCAAAGACCCCACATCCGACCTCACACTTGGGCCAAGATGGAAAGATGAGGACTGCAGAAAAGCTGCGGGAACGGTCTGGCTTTCAAGAAGGGCCAAAGGGCCCTACCCGGGGATGATGAGCATGTGGGATGAAGGCAGCCAAGGCATGCCAAGGATCAGGTCCACAGACAACACAAAGCTGGAAGGGACAGTTAACAGGAATGTGTCGGCTGAGCTGCAGCGTGCCTGGAAGAGGAGACTCGAGAGGAGTTGCCAGTAACTAGAACAAAGGGGATCAGATCTGCTCCGCCGGGCTCCAGAAGGCAGAGCCAGGAGCAATGGGATGGCCAAGCAGGCTTCTGCCTCCCAGGAAGAACCATTTCCTAATAATCCGCCAAATGCAGGCCTCCCATACACTGTTCCTTCTCGTGGCAGGCGAACTCCCCGACTGGACTCAGCTAAGCTTGGGTCTAGTCACGGTCCTGGGGCTCATCTGGACCTGGAAGGAAGTCCTTTGTTGCCAACATTCCCCATCACTGATGGGAGGAACGAAGCCGTAATGAAGACATCCGATTCCGTCTCTATTGGGAAATGTCAACAGCAGAAAATTGAGATCTGCTCAGAACTGGAAAATCTCATTTTGTTTTAGTTTTTATTTTTAAATTTCCTGTGTGGTCCCACAAGGGTGGTCAAGCCGACCTGGAGACGCCCATGTGCAAAGTGACCACAATGTAGGCTACGCAAGGGGAGAGAACCAAGGGAGCCGGCCAAGCCACGGACTAGACAGTTGGCACACCCGCCTGCTGGTCAAGAGCCCCCTGATGCTGACCGGGACTGCTAAGAAAGGGCCCGTCTCTGCTTCCGCTGCCTCCTTCTGCCACATCTCAGCTCACTAAAGAAATGGCATGATGATGTCCGGCAGGGTATAATGAGGCCACGACTGTGCCCCAGCCAACCACTGCTTTGGACGCTGAAAGGTAAAGAAGGATGTCTGTTTACTTAGGACTCCTGAGCAGACGGCTTATGTGTCATAGGACCAGGACCTTAGACACCCCGGTGAGGAAACTGAGGCACAGAGAACCCAAGTGGCTCACCCAGAATTGCAGAATGGGCAAGCTTCTGCGGTAGCATTCAGACCCGGGTCCTCCTGGGTTCTAGGCACACTGTCTACTCCAAAGCCATGGTGCCTCTTTTGGGTGGGTTTCCAAGTTTTACCTTAATTAGCCACAGCAGGCTAAAAAAACTTCTCTGTTAAATTCAATTCTGCTTTCAGTATCAATAGAGAAAAGTTCCCATTTAAAGAACTTTCTTCAGGTCATTCTAGTAGGCAGGCAGCGCCAGCATCACTGCCCCACTCCTTTCCAGGAGGTGACCATTATAGGAAAGCCTAGTGGTCGGGGCACCTGCGACGAATGCTCTGGCAAAGAGGGTAGAACCACTCTCCCGTCTGAGGTGGGAGCAGAGCTGCAATGTCACCCATGGGCAGCACAGCGTGCCTGGTACCACATTGGAATCTCTGCAAAATATTAGACATTACTGAACGAAATCAGACATTTTCCAAAACTTTTATGTTGGTAACTTGGTCTAATTTTAGATACTGTAGGTCTGGACCAGCAGAGGACTGAGAATTCTGGGCTCAAGATGCTGAGCTGGATCAGGAGGCTGGGGTCTGGGATTCTGCCACTACTCATCCCTGCTGCCCACGTCAGTCATGCTTTGTGGCAGTCTATCCAGAAGGCCGTGTGTGTGTGTGTGTGTGTGTGTGTGTGTGTGTGTGTGTGTGAGTGTGACGGTATGCGTGTGGCTCTGTGTGTCTGCGTGGGTGGGTGTTTGGGGAGGGGAGGTGGTGCTTGGGAAAGCCCAGCACAGGATTCTAATCCAATGATGACAGCCCTTTCGGAGGCAAATGCCCCCGCTGAATGGCAACAGATGCCAGAGCACTCCCTCTGCACTCCAGACCTGGGGAGGAGTGAAACATTTCCAGGGAAGCGCTGGACTGGTGTGTGAAGACAGAACCTGGGCAGGAGGGACGGACTCTGCCCTCAGGGGGCCAGGGCTGGTGGGCCTGCCTTCCATTCCATGGGCAGGCTTTAGGATCGTGAGGTACCAAGCCCACTCACCAGCCTAGGGCAGTATGGCCTCAGTTTCCTTCTCTGTAAAATGAGGGGTTGGGTGTCTACCAGGGGTGCCTAACCTGTGGCCTGTCAAAGTTATGAAATATTTTGGTGACTGTCTATCCATATAGTTGGCTCCTCTGAAATCCTTTGTTTCCTGCTGTTTGCACTCAGAGCCAGGCTTCTGAGACGGGGTGCACAGGTGTCCCCAGATGCTTCCTGGAGGGGTCCAGGACCCCAAAATGCTTCAAGTTCGATGGAATCGGATATCCTAGAAACACGAGATCCCGATGCCCGACCACCCCACACGCAGCTCAACTCTCCTCACTCGCTGTGGCTTCTGGTCACTTCTGCTCCTTAATTTTCTCAACAGCAGTCACGGCACTGTTCGTTACTGATTTGTGATGATCAGGTAAGGCGGGATTCAGTGAAGAGGCGAGTGTGGATGTGATCTCTCCAGCCTCTGCTCCCGTCGACCTCGTCGGCTCCGTGAGGACGGGGACAGTTTGGTCTTTGGGCCCCCAGCCCCCCACACGACACCCCCTGCATGGCACACGGCTGCCACTTAATAAATATCGCTGGAATAGAACTGATTTGTGACCCTCCTGAGAGTGAGATCTCCTGAAAGATGACGGAGGCAAGGAACCACAGTGATGGGGCGAACGAACAGGTGGCCAGGCACACGCTCCTCTTCTGGTTTCTGTGCCCATTAAAATGGTCGAGAGAGAAAGAGCATAGCGCCTTCAGCTTACGAGAGGGCCCCGCGCCTCCTTCTCGAGGGGGTCGGCGCTGCCAAGCAAGCCTGCTAGAGGCGGGGCGGGGCGTTTCCCTCGTTGACATGAGGTGCATTCATTCCGATCCCACGGGAACGGAGGGCAACCGTGTTCTCCTGACTCTCTACAAACACGCTTGGCTGGAGAAGGATTTCTGGGCTGGAGAGCTTGCGAAGGTCGGGGGGCTCTGCTGGCAGGGGGAGGAGCAGTGAGGATGGTTTCTGAGAGGCCCCGGGACAGAGACGGAGAGCCCATCTTCTCCTCCTGGCTGCAACACGGGTAAAGCGGGGACAATCACGCTGGATCCTCTGGGGAGGGGTCACAGGAACAGCCGCAAAGCCGTGAAGCCCTGCGGCGGGCTTGGGGAGGGGCTGCGGGAGGCTGCTGCTTTTCTGCTGGGCAGAGCTGGGCTCGCACACGGGATGAGACCTCAGGCGTCCCCGGCAGCCGTGAGCTCTGCCCGCTGCAGAGGCTCTCGCGGCTATGAGGATGCCTGGCCTCTGTTTGGAAGGTAGCTGTGTTGCTGTGGTTTAAGACCTGCCCGGGGGCCGGAGGGGAGCACTTGGAAGTGTCCTCCAACCACTGGGCGGGCCAGGGTCCTCCTGATGAGCTGTACCCACGTGGAAGAGAGTAGCACCATGATGTAAGCTCTGCTAGCTGCCCTGCCCGGGAAGGCCCCTGTGGCGGACGCTTCAGTGGGGGGAGGAGGGGCAGGCGCATGCTGTGAAGATGCTGGCTAGGCCTCGCTGGTGGGAGTGCTCCGGCTCAGCCCCCTGATTCCGTGGAGGATCCTCTTCATGTGGCCCACTTTGGTCACCCCGAGGTCCTGAAAGCCAAAAGGAAAGCCCACCATGGAGACCGGGGAGAGCAGCCCCAGGCCCAGCCCGGCACTGTCGGGCCGCCTCGGCCGGTCCCCCGGGGCTCACCGAGGAACAGGACAGGAGGAGAGCATGTAAAGAATGACAACCACGCTGTCGGCCAGGCCGTCACGAGTGCCCCCCCACCGCCCCAGACCTCCCTGTGCTGGGCCCCAGGCCCACGCTGGGCAGCACCGTGTGGCCAGGAGGCTCTGGCCCAGTCACCCTCACCCACCTGGGCTGCTCCAGCCCCCAGTCCCCACCCCCGTCACCAGGGCACCGGCCCAGCTTCCTCGCACTCTGGGCCCTTTTCAGGCACGCTGATTTCTCCTGCCTAGACTGGATGCTCCTCGAGGGCTAAGCCTGGGCCCTGACCAAAAGCCCAACGTGTAACCTGCACGCCCTGTGGACAGAGTCAGGCTCCCCTGAGACATGAACAAGGGCAAAGTACCTTGAGGTCCCTCCGCTCGAGCTGCAGGAGCTCGGGGCCCCGGATGTCGTGGCGGATGAAGATATCTCTATACTCACAAAGACTGAGGTGCTCAAGCCAGGCCGCGACCTCCTCTGTGCCCCAGACGTGAACTGTCAGACGGAAAAGCGAGAGGGAGCTGAGAGCCGAGAGGAAGCCGAGAGAGAACGCGCCCAAGGTCTCAGGAGGAAACGAGGGGAGCCCAGTGCCCGCCACCCAGCACCAAGATCATCGATTGGGGGGCGTCTGAGAGGCGAGGTAAGACCCCCTCCAAAGGGGGCACCTGCTTGCAAACGTAGTCAGTCCTTGGCTTCCTGACTACCCTCCTCGACCCAAGAAGGAAGAAGCCGCCATCGTGTCCAGAACCTAGGCCGCGGCTTCCACGCCAATTCTCACTGATGGAGGATGTGGTACTTTCAGGCCCACGACCATATTTTATTTTCTTTTAAAGAGACTTCATCCAAAGGGTGGAGGTGGTCTATACAGGACACCTTTAATTATTTCATCACGACAGGAACACATGGCTCAAACGCAAGCGGACCAGAATTTGCTCGGCCTTTCTGGGGGGTTACTAGACCCAACTCAGAGTGGCGCTCAGCAGCACAGAGGTCGTGGTTAACGACGCATCTGCCAGAAGGACTGACTATGCTCACTCGCACAACCTCGGGCTCTGGACGAATATTTTAGAAGAGAAAATCAGACAGGCCCCAATCTGGGGGAGGAGCAGCCCCTCGCTCTGATTTCTGGGAACAAAGGAGAGCGTTTTCCTGAGAGAAAGATGGCGGCAGCCCCAAGCCCAAAGCAGAGGCAAACTCTGAGGCTGGGATGCACCCAGGGCACATGACCAGGGCCAAATGAACTGTGCAATGGGGAGGCCTCCTGGGCCAGTCTGTCATTTTTCTCTCAATGGGATCTGTGTTCCAGGTGCACCCACCCTGTGGATGCGGATTGATTGGGGAGGCATTTGATCAGAGGGAGATCATCGATCCCCACAGAGGAAGCAGGAGCAGCAGGGGCCTGGAGGATGCTCGCGGACCTGCGCCCCAGAGTCACTGTGGTCTCCGAGGTTGCCAAGGGCACCTCCTCTCCCCCCCACCCGGGCAGACAACGGTCGAAGCTCGGAGGCCTCTTCCCAATTGGTCAGGGCCGGGGCAGCGCCCCTTGGACGGCGCACACGGGGCAATCTATGGGATCTCAAGCCTAGAAACGAAATGTTAGAGAGAAAGGTCCGGCCAGTGGGGGTGGGGAGAGACGGGCCCCCCAGGTGGCAGGGAGCGAGCGCGTGCCTGCGGAGGGCTAGCTACCAGGGAGGCCGGTGCCGCTGCCGCCGCCGCGCATTTCTTTGTTCTTGCTGCTTTTCTCCTTTTTGAATTTGGTCACCAGGCGAAATTTGCCGCTGCGGCCGCGTTTGTTGAAGTCCAGCGTCGTGGGATTCTAGGGGATGAGAGCAGACAAAGGGGGTGTCGGGGTGACTGGCAACCAGCAGGCTGCCCGGGCAGGGCAGTGCCCACCACACCGTACGTACCTCGTCCTCACTAGACAGAGGGAATGTGGCGTGACTGGCGGCAGCTGCTGGGGAGGGCAGCGCCCACCACACCGTGAGTGCCTCGTCCTCACTAGACAGAGGGTGTGTTGGGGTGACTGGGACGCCTGCCCGGCCGCTGGGGGGGGCAGCGCCCACCACATCATATGTACCCACTGTACGTTAAGTACCTTGCCCTCACTAAACAGAGGGAGTGTTGGGGTGACTGGCGGCAGCTGCTGGGGAGGGCAGCGCCCACCACACCGTGGGTGCCTCGTCCTCACTAGACAGAGGGTGTGTTGGGGTGACTGGCAGGCCCGCCCGGCTGCTGGGGGGGGCAACGCCCACCACAGCGTACGTACCTCATCGTCACTGGGCTCCATGAGCTGCCACAGCCAGGGAATGTCGGCCAGCCTTCTCAGCTGGAGGTCCATGTCCGCCAGGGCTGCCCCGAGCTGCTCCTTGTGGGGTGGCTCCAGCTGCTGCACCGTGCCAGAGAGAAGAAAGGATGGGCCCGTTAGCTCTGGGGCCCAAGGGGCCCCATGGGCCAAGCCCATGAGTCTGGGCTGGCAGGATGCCAGTGTGGTTCTTTCTCATACTTGTTCTTCCGCCTAAGAAGTAAAAGGAATGGGTGCAAGGCCACACCCAGCGTCTTCCTTTGGGGTCTGCTCGGTGACCAAAGCCCTCCTCACTCTGGGTCTTGTTTCAAATCACAGCTGGGAATGGGCCCAGATGGTCTAGAAAATGACTAGGAACGAGGCCGCCAAAGGCTCTCCTGGACCCGCAGAGATGCCTCCACGAGGTCTCTGCCCCAAAGAGGAAAACAACCCTGTGGGCATAAATATTTGGAGCCACGATTTCTGGGGGGGCGAAGGGCTGCCTGCATGGGGAGGGGGCTATGATGCTGAAGAAAGGACAAAGGGCATGGTTTCAGAGAAATCTGGGAAGACCTGTGTGAGCCGATGCAGAGGGACGGGGGCAGAACCAGCAAGACAAGCACAGCGCTGGCCCGCAGAGCCCGAGATGCAGGACGAGGCCAACGGGAATTTCCTTGGCCTCCTTAGTCAGACTGGGTAGGAGGGTTTGCCTTTTTCTTTTTATTCAGTTGGGAGATGGGGAGGAAATAGAAAGAAAATTAATGACGGCTAAGCCAAAAGAATAATACGTATAAAAATTTTGAAAAACAACTGCTGAGTCATTGGCGTGGGCTGGGGCGTCCCCTCTGGGGTGGGGGGGCACAGCGACACCGGGAAGCAGTGCCGCATTTTGGGGGCAGACTCTGGGTAGGAGCCGCAGGCCCCTGGGGCCCCACCAGCATCCTGGCCCTGGTGCCCGTTCTTCCGACCCGACATGAACAGCCGCGGCGGCAATGTGAGGACCACCTAATTCTCAACAAGGAACCAATGGCCTCTTGTCCTGGCTGTTCACAGGACTGAGAAAGTGAAATTATTTCAGCATCCTCAGGGAATACACCATCACCCCCAATGCCGTGGGCTTCTAGGCCCCCAAGCCCTGTCCAGACGAGATTTCATCGGAGCTTTGCCACTGGGTCAACACCGAGGGCATCATCACCCCCACTCTACAGGCGAAGAAACCAAAGCTCAGAGATCAGGTGACTTGTCTAGGGTCACACCGCTAATCAAGCGGAGGCGAGACGCCAGCCTGCTTTGTCTTCCTGATTCTGGGCCCGGCCGCCACACGAGCCCCCCCCCCCCCCCCCGCCACATACCAGGGCCATCTTCCCAGTCAGCAGCAGCTCGGTCTCATTATGGAGGGCGCGGATGTTGTTTACCATCTCCACGACAAAAGTGCAGTTCAGTCCCTGGAAAGGAGGAAAACACCGTGAGGGGCCTGGGGGCGGGTCTGAGGGGCCGTGGTGGAGCAGGCCGGGGCGCGGGAGCAAGGACCTACCTCGGCGGCCTTAGATTTCCCATAGACTCTGTTGAGTGACTTGGAGCTGGCATTGACGGCGTGGGCCAGCTCCTGCTCCATGTCTGGGCACGACTGAGCTATTTCCCGGATGCTAAAGAGAGAGACACAGGCACCCCGTGAGATCTGCGTGGGGCACCCCTGGGGGCCAAGCGGAGCGCTGGGAGCTTGGAGGCCTGGGTCACGGCAGCTCAGGCTCCTCTCTGGGCTCGTTCTGTCTTCCCTGGGCCCAAACGGGGATCCCTGCATCTGTGGGAACCCCAAGTGGAGACCTTCAGGAATGGGGGTGAAGGGCAACAAGGGACAACCCTGGGGACAATCTCATTCAGCGCAAACGGGCCCAGGGGCGTGTCTCCCACACCTTACGCATCCTGGGCCTGCCCCTTCCCCAAGAGCAAAGACGGGCCAGTTTTTTATTTTCATCCTTATTAATCCAGTTTAGGAAATATCCCTGCGCAAGAGACGTTCTGGCCAGGACCAATACAGCAGAGGAGGAGGAAGGGGACGGCTGTGTCTCAGGGCCGGCCGGCCAGCCAGCTGGCCTGCCTGCCTGCCTGTGAGGAGCACGGAGGCAGTGTTGGAGCCCAGCCCCCAGGAGGAGGGGGAGGGGGAGCGAGCAAAAGCCACCTGTGGATGAGGGCCCCTGCTGCCTGGCCAAACTGGTGCATCTGTGTGGACTCCTCTCCAGACGTGATCTCGGGGTGCAGGGAGAAGGAGGGCGGGCGTGAGAGCTCACATTTCTGCTTATCTTCCCAGGATTTTAGGGTGCTTTCAAATGCCTAGAATGCAAGGGAAGCGGGTGCCATCCCACTGCCCTCCCAGCCGTTTCTGGACAAGACGAGCACGTCTCTTAATGTCAGCGTCCTTGAGGACCCGTGACCTGGGCTGTTCTGTCAGGGAGAGCTCGAGACACATTTCCCATCCTTCCCACCCCTCTGCCTTCTTCTCTCCACACCAGCCCCTTCTGGAGGCACGATCAAACTCGCCCTTCACTGTTCCTGAATGGGGTGTCCCCTCCTCACCTACAAGCCTAGGTACCAGCCCTATACCCTTCCACTCTTCAAATGTAAGCTCCTGGAGGGCAGGGCTGTCTCTGCTTTGCTTAGCACAAAGTCAGTACCAAACACTTTCTACTCCCTCTCTAAAGTGTGACGCTCACACCTGGAAAAGGGTGACGGAGCTGAGGCCTGAGGTGAAACGGTGGAAATGATCTTGGAGGTTCCTGGCCTGGTCCCCTCCTCCCCTCTTTTTTGCCTGAAAAAACTCTAGAACAAATGCTTCCACCACACTGGCAAAGAGGGTGAAGTCTGACTGAGGCCAGTGGTCTGCTGCTTGGACTTTCCACGGGTCACCTTTCTATCAGGATCGTGCCAGGCACAAAGCCCAGTGCTACCACGCCCCCTCAGGTCTAAGAGCTCACAGGAGGCTGGGGGGCGGGGCGAGCCGGGCCAGGCATCGGGGGCTGGCCTCCATTTCCTGACCTCCAGGCTCTGGCCACCAGCTTACACTACAGGAAGACTTTAGGGGAGTACAAGAACCCATGAGGAAGGTAAAAGATCCTCCCCTGGGGGTGGGCTGGGGGGCAACCTCTTCTAGGGTGAGGAAAGCAGAGAGGAGCTTGCCAGACCCCTCCCACCTCGGAGGTCAGCCCTTGATCCCTGGGGGACAGCAGCGTCCGTGGTGAAGCCTGAGAGAAGATTCCAGTTGGAAGACGCCAGCCTTACCCGATCCCTGGTCAGAGTCTGCGCCCGGTTCTTGTGGACAATTTGGATGTAGCCGGGGGGCTGGATCCAGGCCTCTCCATCCACCTGTACTGGGACGCCCTCATCGCCCAGGATGGCGATTTTCACAGTCCGACACTAGGGAAGACAGCAGACCCTACTGATGACCCGCGCACCCGGCCATGGACAGGAAGCTGGCGAGGGCTCCCCCTTCCCTTGGGCTCCCCCGAAGGGTCCTGGCTGATATTGCCTGGCTACAGCCTTCTTGTCCTCTTCTGCGTCTCCAACGGCAAAGGTCAGGTGGGCAGGGACCCTGGCGGGGAGGGACATGAATTCCACCCCGGAGGTCCTGCTACTTCTGCTGACCCTCTGGTCACTCCAGGGCACTGATTTCAGGCCCTGGGGACCACGGCTTACGTGGCTGGTCATCACGTGCATCCCCTCCACCACCTCCTCTTTCCTCCAAAGTGCTGAATGGCACTTATTTACGTTTTAAATTAAGATGGAATTCATGTGTGTTTTGCTTTTAAAAATGTTTCAAAACTGAGGCAACCCTTGAGAAAACTGGAGACACTCTTGTATTAAAAACCAAACCAAACCAAAGAAGCCCTCCCAGGACCCCACAGGTTGGGGAATCAGCACGATGACGGAGGCCGCGATGCCCCAGGGGCCGCTAGCACTGCCCTAGAATGAGGGTGAGTGAAGGTGAAGAGGTGTCTCCCCCTACTGGGATCCTGCCCAATGAAAACAAGTCCTGGGCTGGGGGGAGATCAAGGCAGAAGGCCAGGCATCACAGGACCCAAGCTCGCTGGGCACCCAGGCTCGCAGACCTCGAGCTGGAAGGGACTGACCTCAGGGGCCCAAAGCCACAGAGGCAGGACGTCCAAGCTGGACACTGCTCCTCCCCTTTGCCCCCAGCACACCCGCTGTCAGCTTGTCTCCATGGGCAGTGACAGGCAAGGCCCAAGACAGAGGCCACTCCACTGACCCCTAGTGTCAGCCCCAATTTGGGGGGAGGGTTTCCAAGCCTCCAAAGGCCAAACCAGACATAGTAATGGGTAGCAGCAGCTGCCGCCCCCAGCCTGGGAGCCCTGGGCCCTGCGTTTCAAGCCTGGCCTTGCCACTGGACCGTCCCAGGGCTGGCTCTCAGGATCTCTGCGGGATCACTCGTGATCCCGGTCTGGCCGCTGGTATGTACGGCAGGGGGTGGGGGTGGGGGGAAGCACTGATCCCTAACATTTTATGGTCCTGCTTGATCAGTCTCACTGCTCACTTTACAAAATGACTTTTTTTTTTCTTTATTGGATGTTGGACTTTGACACAAACAATAAAATGTATTTATCTCTTTACTGAAAAAACACGTGCTTCCCTCAAACAGGATTCTGGCATGATTACCTGGGCAATCCGGTGGTGCTGCAAATTAATGACGCGGGAGACAGCCATCTGCATGCTGCCAAAGACGGCCACCACTTCCAAGACCTTGTCATCAAAGGACGGGGCTGTGAATGTCTGAAAGGGAGGCCAAAGCTGCAGTGCGTGGCCAGCCAGTGCCTCCTTGGGCAAGGCTGCTTGCTCTTCCCACTTCTCCCAGTGACCAGAGGGCTTCGGGGCGTGTGGAGGTAATGAGGCCACTACTGCGAGGAAGGGACATTGGAAGTAAGGGGCAGCAGTAGGGAGGCGTGTGGCTCTGTCCCCTTTAAGGGGACGCTGCCCTGCAGAGGCTGAAAGAAGCCCACAGAGCTCATCACAATTCCTGCATCAAGAAGCCCTGGTTCAGCTCCTCCAGGGTATGTGGGGCCAGGAAGGAGCTGGGGAAGACAGGTCCAGCCCAGGCCCACGGCTCTTCCAGGCCAGGACGTCGTGAGAACCAACTGGACAAGACGAATGCCTCAGTGGCCCCGTGATGTCAGGGGAGGGCCCAGGGGGACTGTCCTGCTCATCTGGGGCAGTGGGGGAGGGGCCAGCACGAGCTGTGACTTAATAAAGGCTAAGCATATTGAATGGAGGGGGGGAGCTCCAGGCATTGGGAGCCCTGAGATCTGGAGTGGGTGGAGCAGATGCCAAGGATGGCAAGTGGTTGGTGAGGGAGTAGAGGCAGATGGAGGGGGTGGCAAGGCCAAGGGAAGGCTTTCTTAAGGGGAGGGAGGTATTGGGGTGGGGGTAAGCCAGGGACAAGGAAGAGGCTGAAGATGCAGGGGGGAGGGAGCACAGGTGAAGAGGGAAGCCTGGGAGAAGGGGATTGAGAAGAGAAGCGTCTCTGGCTTTGGCCAGGAGCCCCCCAGGTGCTTCTGACGGAGCCAGCCCCACTTACGTCATCTTCCTTGGTACCTCCCCAGAAGTTGGTGCCTCCGGCATAGCTGGGGATGTTGAGGACAGCAATACCTTGAAGGCTGGGCAGCGGGATGGGACGCCCGTCGCACTGAGCCAAGTGGAGGGAGAGAGGACAGAAAGAAAGGCCAAATCAGACTGCCATGGCGGGATTGAGGCCTGGGAGGCTGCTGGGCCCCACGAGGGCCCCCAGGGTCCGGCTATCAGACAGACAACCAGAGCAGGCGGGGGAGGGGGCTGTAGTGCCCTGAGGTCAGCACCAGCCTCCTCCTGCCAGAAGCAAGGACTCTGCTTCCTTACATCAGTCAACGAACGGGCACTGACAGAGCACTGACAGCGGGCCTAGGAAGGCACAGGGGGGACCCCAGACATCGGAACGCAGAAGCAGACGCAGCCTCGAGACAAAGTATCTAAAGCACGGAGTGAATAAACACAACTAGGGACAAAGCAGTGAGACTCCAGCAAGGTGGGGAAGGAGGCAAGAGGCAGCTAAGGAGGGAGACCAGCCCAGGCACAGGAGCCCAGCCAAGGAGCAGAGACCAACGGCCGGGCCCCCCCACGGCTCTTTAAAAGCCAGAGAAGACTGTTTTATTCCAGAGGCCCGCAACAGGAAGCCTCTGGAGAGCAGTGAACAAGGAAGTGCCAAGGTCAGATCCCTAGGGCTGATGGACTGAAGGGAGAGGAGCCCAGTGAGGGGGCGAGCGGTGCTGAGGCCCCAGCCTGAGTGTGGAGAAGGGCCCAGATTACGTCCTCTGCATCGCGGATGCGGGTGTACCAGAGAGGCACGGGGAGGGTGGGAGTGGCTGCGGGAAGCCCATCACCCCATGTTAAGTCAAGGGATGTCCCCCTGGGATGAGCAGGCCAGGGTCAGGAGCTTCCTTCTCACCTCCAGCAAGACCTTCTGCTCCAAGTTTCTGTAGGTGCGATGCAGTAATTCCTTTGTCCCCAGAACCCCATACCACATCATGTTCTTGGTACGGCTCCTGAGAAGGGAAAATAAAACAAGAGTGAGCCACGCTTGTGTACCTGTAGACACGCCCACACTGAGTTTCCTATGCCCAAAGCGCCACTGACCACATGCCCACCAGGCTTCCCCGTCAGTTTCCACACACACACTCATGGGGCCCCATCGACTGACTCTGAGGATAGATGGCCAAAGAAGAGGGGCCGAATGTGAGAGGCAGGACCCATCCTGAGCAGAATCCTCCCTCCGCCTCTGGGGATTGAGCACACCTGGTCAGTGAGTCATTCCTGATTTCCAAGGGGAGAAGAGTTTCCAGACAATACCCAAAACCTCAACTTTAATGTTGGATGGGGGCCTTTTTTTCCTTCAGTAAACATTTATTTACCAAACACTTAACTCGGGTGCCAGGCACTGTGCTTAATACTGAGGATACAAAGAAATGAAAATAACCAAACGAACAGGGCCCCTGCCCTCAAGAAGTGCATAGTCTAATGAGAGAGACCAAGTGTAAACAAGTAGGCACAAAAAAGTATGTACCCAGAGTACATGGAAGGTAATCTAAATGGGGAAAGGAATGGCAGCTGGGGGAAGAGCAGCCTGGGAAAGGTTTTTCATTTTCTTAAAATCTGTTATTTATTGATTTTTAAACATTCTTTCCTTTTTAAATTTTGAGTTCCAAATATTCTCCTTTGCTCCCATCTCACCCCTTCCCATTGAGAAGGCAAACAATTTATCAATTATACATGTGAAATCATGCAAAACATATTTCCATATTACCCATACTGTAAAAAAAAAATTTAAAAAGTGAGAAAATTATACTTTCAATTTGCATTCAGAATTCATCTATTCTCTCTCTGAAGGTAGAAAGCAATTTTACCATGAGTCTTTTGGAATTGTCTTAGATCATTGTATTGATCAGAGGAGCCAAATCATTCACAGTTGATAATCGTTACAATATTGCCGTCTCTACGCACACTGACCTCCTGATTCTTCTCACTTCATTTTCGGTCTTGCCATGTTTTTTTCTGAAACTACTTTCCTTGTCATTTCTTATAGCACAGTAGTATACCATCACAATCATGTACCAAAACTTGTTCAGCCATTCCCCAATTAATGGGCATCCCCTCAACTTCCAGTTCTTTGCCACCACAAAAAGAGCCATTGTAAATATTTTTGTACATATAGGTCCTTTTCCATTGCTCTCTTTGGGATATAGTATTGCTGGGTATGCACTGTTTCATGGCCCTTTGGGCGGCATAGCTACAAATTATTCTCCAGAATGGTTGAACCAGTTCACTACTCCACCAACAATTCATTAATGTAGTTCTTCTTAGGAGTTACATATATTACTTTCCCATATAAGAATGTAAACAGTTTACCTTTACTGAGTCCTTATAATTTCTCTTTTATTTCTACCTTTTTATGCTTCTCTTGAATCTTGTGTTTGAATGTCAAACTTTCTATTCAGCTCTGGTCTTTCCAACAGAAATGCTTGTAAATCCTGTTTCATTAAATACTCATTTTTCCGCCTGACGGATTACACTCAGTTTTGCCAGGTAGATGATTCTTGGTTGTAATCCTACCTCCTTTGCTCTCTGGACTATCATATTCCAAAGCTCCCCCTCTTTAATGTGAAAGCTGCTAAACTTTGTGTGATCCTGACTGTGCCTCTGACCTGTTTCTTTTTGGCTATTTACAATATTTTCTCCCTGACTTGAGGAGTGCTAGAATTTGGCTATCATGCTTCTGGGCATTCTTTCAATTTCCATTTTATGCTCTGGGCCTAAGATATCAGGGAAGTTTTCCGTGACAATTTCTTGATATATGTCTAGGCTCCTTTTTAAAAATCATGGTTCTCAGGTAGTCCAATAATTCTTAAATTGTCTCTCCTTGCTCTATTTTCTAGGTCAGTTGTTTTCCCAATGAGACAGATATTTCATATTTTCTTCTATTTCTTTTTCATTCTTTTGACTTTGTTTCATTGTTTCTTGATGTCTTCTAATGTCATTTGCTTCCACTTGCCCAAATCTAATTTTGAAGGAATTATTTCCTTCATTGCGCTTTTGCACCTCTTTTTCCATTTGGCCAATTCTGCTTTTTATAAGTACTTTTTTTTTGGCTAGGCAATGGGGTTAAGTGACTTGCCCAGGGTCACACAGCTAGTAAATGTTATGTGTCTGAGGCTGGATTTGAACTCAGGTCCTCCTAACTCCAGGGCCAATGCTCTATCCACTCGCCACCTAGCTGCTCCTCAATTCTACTTTTTAAGGAGTTCTTGTCTTCAGTGAATTTTTATATCTCTTTTACCATTAGGCCACTTCTGTTTTTTAAGATGTTATTTTCTTCAGTGTTTTTTTTTTTTTTTTTTGGTGCCTCTTTTACCAAACTGTTAATTCTCTTTTCGTGATTTTCTTGCATCACTCTCACCTCTTTCTTGACCTCTCCCAGGAATTCTTGCTGGGCATTTTCCTTTGAGGTTGCGCTCTGGTGTCTTCCTCTGAGTTTGTGTCTTGGTCTTTCCTGCCACTGTAGTAACTTTGATAGTCAAGCTCTTTTTTGTTGTCGGCTCATTTTCCAGCCTGTTTCTTCACTTTGAACTTTATGTTAAAATTAGGCTCTTCTCATCTGGAGGTGGGAAGGCACTGCTCTAAGCTTCAGGCTTTCTCGTGCTGCTGTTTTCAGATCTAGTTTTCTGTGCTTCCAAGATGGTGGGATCTAGGGAGAAGTATGGTCACTGCTCTCCTGGTCTGTGCACTGGTCTTTAGCCAGGAAGGTCCCTGCTCCTTTGTGACTGATCCCCAGAGCTCCTCTCGGCCCTGAAACTGTGACACAGAACTGTGGAGAGGCAACAGAGTTGCCAATCAGTGCCAGCTGCACCCAGGGCAGGTCCCCTGTAATTTGTGGCCACCTTCAAGGCCCACAGCTGACGCTCCAGGCGAGCTCTGGGCCTGTGCCCACCCTGATGTCACAGGCCTCTCTTGCAGATCTCCTAAGTTGTCTAATGCTGGAAAAATGTCTCCCTGACCTTTCATTGGTGCTGCCACTCCAAAATTTGACTTGAGGCAGTATTTTAAAGTGGTTTGGAGGGGAATGTTGGGAGAGTTCTGGGTCTTGGCCTGTACTCCGCCATCTTGGCTCCCCAGGCCTTTCTTTCTAAAATGACAATGGGGTAACCAGTGGGGAATGAAGGGGACCCATCAGTCTCCATCCAACACCAAACACCCGGCCACCTTCTCAAAGACAAGTGTAGACAAGACAGCAAGGCTCCATCTACAGTAAATGTGGTGGGATAAACTTAAGCAGGCAGACCTCTCAATGCTCGAGGTCACGTGTTTCATTTTTATTCACATTCTTACTTGCTCATCACAAGACATGCTCTGAACTAGACCCAATTTCTTTGGATCAGGGCCAGTTAGCATGGATATATTGAAACTGTACCTCATACCTACAGACTCTACAACAAACACCTTTGGAAGTAGAGAAGATGCAACATTTTGTCTGAAGTGGGTGGAAGAGTGGGGGTGGTGGGCTGTATAAAGAGCCTTGCCCAGCACCTAGGTGGTACATGGGGGAGAGTGCTGGATTCTAATTCAAATCTAAACTTAAAGATATATTAAAACTTTGGGGACATAGAGTCCCTTTTGGCTCCAAATGCTCTGTTGGCACAAAAACAGTGTGGGCATGAGGAAGACCTAGATTCAGTCCTGCCTCTGAGCCTTACTGGTAAGATCTGGGCCTCATTCTCCATGTCTTTAAAAGGGACTTTTAAAGGGACCTTGGTACCGCCCTCAAAGTTGCTGAGAGGGAAGAACCCTGTAAAACCTCCCTGGGTCAGGATATGTCACTACTGTTATCCTAAATGAGAAGTAACTACTCTGATGAGTTTCCCAGGGTCATCAGCTTGCACATCCTGCCTGTAGCAGGCACTCAAACGCCCATGAATTTGATTTGATTTGTTCTAACATACCTTTGCCCTGGAAAAAAAAAAAAAGCTGCTCCAGCAGCACTTGGGTTCTGGGGCTGCCCACAGAATGTGGCTACACAAGGGACTCTCACCTACCTGCATTTTTCTGGGTGCTCATCACGCTTGTTATTGAAATCCAGGGAGATCTTTGCATCAAGCCCAATTCCAAAATAGTTATTCATGACACATTTCTCTGTATAACATTCTCTGTAAAATTTCATTTAAAAACCAATTAAAAACAACTTCCTTTAGCCCTTTTATTTCTGAAGCTCCCAAGGCTCAACCCTAACCCTCCATGACCTCCTAACCCCAGGGCATGACCTCTTCAAGTCCACACATTGACAGACAGGCTTTGCTTCCCAGTGGCTGCCCTAGCTGGTGTGGTCACAGGGCCTCCTCCTCTCTACCTCCCTCCTCCTTTCCACCCAGGATGCTGCTCATTACCTAGGATCTGTCCCTCCTCCTGCCCACTCACCCCAAACACGAACCCTAACCCTAACTGCCAGGGCTGCAGAAATGGGAGCCTTGTTCTGGACATCCTGGGCTGGAGGTCTGTTTTCCATCTCTCCGTTCAAGCCCCTCATAATCTTTAGTACCCAGCACAATGTGCTGGCACTCCTCCTGAGCTGGTATGCAGACCCAGCCACTGAGATCACCGTGGAGTAAAGCAGCTAATTCCTCCAGCCTTTTCTAATGTCTGTCCTATCTCTTTAAGAGTGTCTCCCCATTGCTGCACATACTCACAAGTTTTCTGGTTCAGTGTTAAAGGGATCTGCATTGATTAGCAAACGACTGATAACAGAGCCCCCAGGTAAGGAGCCGGACATCCCAGCCCGGATATCTGTAAGGGAAGGGAAGGGAAGGGAAGAGATGAGCGTCACCAACGCAAAGATGCGTCCCTCCGCGACTGCTGGCCCATCACAATGCTGACATTATATTATGAACATTCTCAGTTTTGGAGCCAAGAATGGGAACAGACATCAGTGAACAAACATGTCTCGACATGGAATGCAAACAGGGATGGTTCTGCAGTGGGACAGACGCCTCTGGCTTAAGGAAGTTCCTGCAAAGACTTTCATGGCGGCGGGGGGGGGGGGGCAGCTAGGTGGCTCAGTGGATAGGGCACCGGCCCTGGAGTCAGGAGGACCTGAGTTCAAATCCGGCCTCAGACACAAACTAACTGTGTGACCCTGGGCAAATCTTAACCCCAACTGCCTTAAAAAAATACTTTCATGGGGATGCGAGGACCCCAAACCTCATGTCCAGGTCTAACATTGTATAATTGTGCAATTCTTACATTTCCAATCAAGCTTTCTTTTTAAAAATACCCATAATTTTCCAAAGACTTCTTGAGTGTTCTGCTTTCCATGGAGAATGTTGGGGAAAGAGTCCATTTTGGGGGATAAATTCTTTCCACTTAAATCCTCAAAGACAATTTGGGAGAACATATGATTTTAGGAGACTCCTCTCTTTTTGTACTTTGAAGGATCCTTGTCTTTGCTGTTCCTCCAGCGGAGGTCATGACCTTCCAGGCTTTCTCATCTCACAAGATTCAAGTGGATGTTCCATGAATCCTGCATGAAGAACCCACCCACTTCATTGGCAACCTCCTCTCAATTCCCCTCCTATTTAGAGAGAAGGCGCCACCATGCCCTGTGGCCGTCTGTCCTGTCTTTCTTGATACGCAGCCCCCCTTCTTTACAGACAGGAGCGTTTCTGATAAAGTCTTTTAGACCCCTTCCTAGTTTACTTATACCTATGTGCACCATTTCCATTTTCCTTTGTATTAGCCACAATTTTGGCTCTTTTGTGATTGTGGTATTGCATGATTCAAAGACATAGAGCACCACCAAGAGAATACTGGTGTTAAAAAGATGGATTTTGTGACCACCAAAAATACTATACAGTTTCTCAAATGTGACTCAGCCCTTTGTCTTCCGCCTCCCTTCCAGGCCCACCTCACTGTCCAAGGTGTATGAACTGACAGATTAATTCAACGCGCTGTCTTGTCTAGCTGCATGCCACAGCTTGGTCAATATGTGTTTTTCATCCAGTTTGTTTTCCCATGTGGATGGTTACACCAATCCTCTTCACACTGTCTGCTTCACAGAGGAGGCTTTCTGGTACTCTGGGATTTGAAGCCATGGTATACATGGTATTTGGAGAACCTCTCACCAACAACAGGGAATAGAAAAGACCTTCCCAGCTTCAATTTTTTTACTCAATGAAGCTACTATACAACCTAAGTCCAATCCTTCAGGGTTCACTGTCACATGATTTGACCTATATAAGTAATACCCTTCTTATTCAGCACTTTTTTGCACCTTCTCCTCTATGTAAGTTGGTTGTAGTTCTGTGACCTTCTTGGCCCTCAAACTCTTCCCTCTCAGTGAGGGCAAGGCCAAGAACCAGGAATGTAGTCCACACCAGCGCAGGCAGGGGACCTTTATGGTGCTGCCACCGTGGTCAGTGACCAGGGATACATAAGGAACACAAAGGACTACCAGCTAGTCCTCACACATTCCATAAGCCTGGCTGACTGCTACCAGTTATTTGCAGGGGTGACTGCCTCACACTGCCTGGGTTTTCTAAGGAGGCATTTTCCTGACATGGCACATCTGTGTCTTCCTGCACGTGCTAACTAACCAGGAGGCAGCTGAGGATGAGTGCACGCACATGTGTGTATTCAGCTCTTGTCACCAACCTCAAATGAAACTGGATCAGTTTTCTGGCAAGGGTTGAGCTGGGAAAGAGAAGCCTTTCAGAGACTGCTCTGGCTGCATTTCTGACCCACGACTTCACACTTGGGGCACACGCAAGGGTCCAGATAGAAGACCAGAAATCTGCGTGCCTTTCATGACACCGACAAAGAGCTTGGGGAATGTGTTTCTCTGTTCTAGATCTCACTGAATGCCAACATGATATCTGTTGTCTTTGTAGGAGCAAGTCTCAGAGAACCACATGATTTTAACGCACACGTGTCAATCCCGTCGTGATGCTCCAGCGTGACTCACGGCGTGGCTCATGGCCATCTCTCTGCCGCTTTGTGGTTCTATGGGATGACGCGGATGCGATTCTTTCATCCTTCTTCTTGGTTGACGACGCCTTGTTCTCTAAGTAAGACTATGGCTTCTCTCCACTTGGCGAGGAGACTCACGCCGTCTCCTTTCCCGCAGTCCCCTCCTTCGGCAGATGTTTCGGGTTGATTTGACTCCTTGGAGAAATGAAGAGTCAACGTCTTTGCTTTTCATTGTCTTTTTTGGTTTGAGTTGACAACTTTATGTAAACAGTCAAATCTGAGCTGCTGTGACTGCACGCAGTCATCTCCTCTCCTTTTATCTAATTTTTTCCTTTTCTCTGTTCTAACGGGCAGGCAGAGGCTTCTGAAGGCATTTCCCACGGTACAGGATGCTCCTGGATGCTGACTGCACCCAGAAGCCTCAGACACCCTTCTGGAAAGGAGCACACATTCTGCTCAGGTAGGAGGTCGGCTCCCTTCATCCCAGGTCACGTGCCCCCCCACGCCCACTTCGCACTGATGCTGCGTGCATGGTCCAGCTCCCCTCATGGTGTGTGAACTTGTCACTTCAATGATGAAGACACTGTTTGGACCTTACACCAACTGCAGTCATCTCAGCCTTGGCAGCCCCTGTCTCCTTTTTCTCCTTCTTGAAGAGAAAGGGGCCATATAGGACCAGAGGCCATACTGTATCGTTTACAGTGTCACCGCCTGGTGCCCCACGCTCTGGTGATAGGCATCCACACCTAGAGCCCAGGCAGCTCGGCAGAACCAGTCAGAGTCGACACACGGCCCGGCAGGAGAAAGGCTGGGTCCGGGGGGACCGCCCTTCCTCCCATCCAGGGCGTGGCTTCACCCTTCCAAACGTCTGTCTCGGCGCAGGGCAGAGGAGGCATCTGCTGGCCTTGCCTTCTGACTCCCCGGCTCCCCTGGTGTCCTGGATTAGAATTCTGGGGAGGTGGCCCCTTCCTGAACATGGCGGGCAAAGGGGTTGCCTCAGGACAACTGGACCTGGAGCGGGGCCTCTCCCTTACGCAGTCTTCCCTGGAAAGACCAGCTAGGCATTCCTGACTTTCCTGTGGAAGAACTCAAGGTCCGGTCAGAGTTGTGGCCTCGTGGACCCTGACAGAACCCCTCCGAAGGAGAAAGTGGGCAAGACACATCTCCCCTCAAGAGGCGGTGGAGAAGGCATGAGAAGGAAAAGCTGTCCCAGAGTCCCAGAGTCCCAGGTGGCAGGGAGTGAGCCTGCCCGTGGCCCGTGGCCCAGGAGCTGAGTAAAAGCTGGTTGGCTAACGATTCCCGCCTCCACCGGGCGCCAGCCCCAGAAGACAGTCTTTCCTCAAGGAGGTGCTTTCGCTGCAGTGACAGGTGATCTCAGGAACATTCTGGCTCCAGCTTGGGGCCATCCACACAGAGGGTGGCTCTTCTCCTCTCACATACCTTCAGCCCCAGCTCTCCCCACCCCAGCCGGGAGCAGTCATCCCGCCGGCCCCCTCCTCCCCCAGGCATGCAAACGGCCCCGCTCGGCCGGATGCTGCCCCAGCTCTGAGCCGGCCGTGGCAGACACGCACACTCACTTGGGTACAGAATCTTTGTGTTCAGCATTGGCAAGATGTCGCGGTTTCCCGTCTGGGGAGGGAGCGATGCTGAGCTGCCCAGAGACAAACTTCCTTTGTTAATTAGCTTTTCACAAGGGGATTTGGACACTGGAAGAAATGACAGAAAGAAGAGTGTTAAAAACAGGACAGTGCTGAAAAGCTGCAGGATTTTTTAAAAAACCCCTCTGAGGTTCAGCCCTCAGGGAGGAAGAAAGAAGGCTGTACGTCAGTCACGGGCCGTCACACAGAAGGACAGAGGGAGGAAGGAACAGACTCTGGGCCTGCCGCCCGCCCAGCCCTGGAGGGAGGGACACGCTTGGCGTCAGCAGTGGCGCCGAGGGGGCTTGGTGCATCAGCCCCATTCCATCCTGTCTGGAGACCACAAGCCAGGCTCCCCCCGACTCCCCGCATGGAGCAGCAAAGCAAACTGATGCGCTCTCAGCTCCTGGCGACACTCTGGACGCCCTGAGGAGCTCAGGTGTGGGGACAGGCCTAGCACACCTGATCCTACCCCGCGACGGACCGAGAGCACGCTGGGGATGGCAGGAATCTCCCAAACCACCCCTGTCCTCTCACTGGAGGGACCAGTAATCACCAATAATAAAAGAGCCATATGACAGGCATGTGTGCACATGCCACAGCCTACATACATGTGTGGAACGTCACAGGATCAGGAAGAGCTGGCCCCCCACGGGGGGCTCCGGAGCTCCTGGTGACCCCTGGCCATGTCATGGTTCCAGAGAGCAGGCATGATCCCTGACCTATCCACTGTCTACCTGCCTACCTGGGGGTGGGGCTAGATGAGGGAATGAGGGAACGGGAATGGGAGGTTCTTGTGGGGGGAGGGAGACAAGTCTGGGCACAGAAGGGGCCAGTAAAGGCTCTGACCCCAGGGGACGAGGGGCTCCTGGCAGGACCTTCCTCGGGCGCTCAGGGAGGCTCCAGGGCAGTGGAAAAGGGCAAGCAGAAACTGGCTGGCCACCTTTGGGAGGAGGCCTACGAGGTAGCCTCGGGCCCTCTGTCCAGGCTCAGATAAGGAGCCCAGGCAGGCACGGACACCAGGGCCGTGCACAGAGATGGCCTCACGGTTCCAAAGGCAACAACACCAAAAAGGGAACCAAAGAGGGTACCTTTACGGTGGCTCCTCCCTCGGGAAACGCTGCCATTGCCGCCATGAGATGTCTGCAGAGGGGGCTTGTCCTCTGCCTTGGGTTCTCTGCCTTCGTTGGCAGCAGAGAGCCCCAAGATGAAGCCTTCCTGCTCCTGGGTCTGGGCATTCTGCTCATCGACAGCTGGGGAACAGAAAAGGAAAGGAACAGAGGATGGAGTGAGCCTGGACGTGGACAGCAGAGCCAGCCAACACAACCTGGGGACAGCGTCACTCTGGACAAGGCTGCTGAGACCTCGAGAGAGCCAGACGGCAGTGGAGAAGGAGAGGTTATTTCCATACAGGTAAACATAAGGAGGACACCAACCCAACAGGGCCAGGATCTAGCCAGACGGTGAGACAGCCGAACACTGCCTAGGCATCCTGGGGACCTCAGAAGTGCACAAGTCTGGGCACCCAGAGTGCGGAGGGTGGGCTGGGCCGAGATGAGGAGGCCAAACATGGACGCAAAGCAGAGAAACAGAACAGTAAAGTGATGGGAAAAGAAATGAGGAGGACACGTGGTGAGGGAGATCAGGAAAAGAAGACGGAAGGGTCCGTGTGAGTCTAGAAAGGCCATCCTTCAGGATCTGCCCATCGGCTGCTCTCCAGGCCCTCAGGCAGAGTCTGAAGGGGCCTGGGGCTCTGCTGCTGCCCAGGAGAGGGAAGGGATCTGTCCGAGGTCCTGCAGTGGCTGAACCCAACGCCCTGCCCCTCCCTGGGCTAGCTCGCCATGCACCTCCATCACCTCTTCTGATGCTGACAGGCAGGAAAGAGCAGGTGTTCATGCCTGCCTTTCACAGCAGCAAAGAGGACACGTGACTCGCCTACGGTGCCATGGCCCTCAGCCAAGCAGGGCCCAGAATCCAATCTTCCGCCTACTGGCCTGGCAGAGCAGTCTGGGGCCACCAAAGCAGGGCTGGCAGGAGCTCAGGGGTGCCTAGGCCAACCCTGACCCGAACAGGAGGCCCCTGGGCAGGGGCCTAGCCACCCAGCCACGCTGGCACAACTCAGCTCGTTAGGAAGTTTCCCTGCCACCAAGAATAACTAAAGCCCGGCACGTCCCCAGCCTGGAACTACTGAGGGAAAATCACTTCCCCATCTGTAAGTCAGGGACGATGCTCCCCATGGAGCTGAGGCTCAAGAGGGGACCCCGGGCACTGAATGTGCTCAGCAAACACATACGTGGCAGGGACAGACTGCAGAGGGCAGGGGCAGGGCCTGACCAGGTTGGGAAGCTCCCTGTGCCAAGGCAAGCTGGCACCTCTTCCGCCTTCAGTCAAGAGAGGCTGCCCGAGCCCAAAGGGTCTGAGGGAACTGCCCAGGGTCAAACAGCAGGAAGCATCAGGGACCGGACCAGAGCCCCAGACTTCCTGCCTGGCCATGTTGTGTCTCAGAAGGAAGGTCTGTTTGGGGGCAGCTAGGTGGTGCAGTGGATAGAGCACTGGCCCTGGAGTCAGGAGGACCTGAGTTCAAATCTGGTCTCAGACATATGATACTTACTAACTATTGTGACCCTGGGCAAGTCACTTAACCCTGATTGCCTCACCAAAAAAAAAAAAGAAAAAAAAAAAAAGAAGAGAAGGTCTGTTTGGCCAGGATTCCCCAAATACGGAAAGGCCTTTTTTGGTTTTTGTGGGCTCTCTCAGGATGACCACCTTTGGGTGCCAGGTTGCTGCTGGCATCTCTGGGAGAAGGGGGCTGGGCTACGGTGCCCTCTGCGCACCCACACTTGGAGGAAACAGTCCGCGGTGATAAGCCCTAACGCCTGCCTGGCTTGGGGTCAGCGATCCCTCCCTGGGTCGCCCCCCGGCTTCCTGAGGGTGGGAGGGGGCCCACGACAGGCTACCTTTTTCTGCGTGTTCTATGATCTGGCGAATAGCTTTCTTCAGGCTGTTGGCCCTCAACATGAGCTGCTCCCGAGGCCGGAATATCTGGGGCCGCACCGGGCAGGCCGACGCTAAGGAGCGCTCAGTGGAGGAGGCACAGACTCCGCCAGAGCCGTCGCCATCTTCCATCTCTTCCGCGATGGTGGGAGGGGGGTTGGGCAGGGAGGAGGAGGCTTGGGACTCCTCATTCAGCGTCTTAAGGAGAGAGTCCAGCTTCTCTTTGAGCACAGAGCACTGAAGGAAGGAAGCGGAGCGCCTCAGACCTCGCGGAGGACCCCGTCCCCCTCCCGCTGGCAGCCGCGCACCACACCCTCCGTCGCGCTCACCTTCCTGGCCATGACTTCAGACTCCTCGGAGCCCTCCGTGGCTTTCTCATAGGCCTTCCCCACTCGCGCCACAAAGTCCTTCACGGTTTCACAGAGCACCCTGCGAGGAGGAAGAGCAGAGGCTGTGGGGGGGGGGGGACGAGGCGTGCGGGCCTCCTTCCAGAAGGCCCCCCACCCAGTACTGCCAGCCCGCTGCTCGCGGGCACGTACTTGGCGGAGGAGATGACCACAGAGTGCTGATCCGAAGTCAAGATTTTGGATAAGTGAGCAGCTACTGAGTCTTCATAGAAGAGAATCTGCTGGACCTAGAGTTGCAGAGACACGAGGGAAGGATGAGCAGCCGGGCTTGGGGTGCAGGGCTCCCTGGGAAGCGCTGGCCTTGGCTCAGCTAAAACACCAGCGGCTGAGAGACGGAGGCCCAGGGTGGCAGGTTGTCTCTCCGAGCCTCAGTTTCCTCAACTGGAAAGTGGAGCTGACCCTGAGGGCTGCCCTGCCCACCGTGGAGGGCTGCTCTGCCACGGGAAAGCAGCGTCAGGACGAGACCGGCCAACCATCAGGGGCTCCCCCACAAGAAGGCAGCACGTTCCTCGGCACGCCCAGGGCCCAGGCCTGCCGCTTGCTCTCCTGGCTCTACGATGGGCGATCCTGGGCTTCGCAGCCAGGCCTTGCCCCCCCAGTCCTCTTCCTGGGCCTCTCCGCCCAACCAGGCAGCACCCGCCTTGCTCCACTGCCCAGAGCCCGTGGGGCACTGATCCCCATTCAGCCCTAAGTATTTCTCCAAAGCCGGGGCTCCGTGGGGTCCCCAGAGCTGTCCCGAGCCATGCTGCCCCTGAAGCTGCCAGCCAAGGGCTGAGTGATGGCGAGGACGGACAACCGGCGTGAGCCAGGCGGTGCCTGGGCTGGGCCTCGCGGGGACGTAGCAGAGGCGAGTGCGGTCAGCTGGGGCAGCAGCATGCAAGGAGGCGGGAGTGGATGGAGTGCACGCCCACCCCAACGAGAAGCCCAATGGCACCAAAGGGCAGGGTCCGGGTTCCAGAGCAGTGGCCCCAGGACAGAAGGATGATGGAAGGCGCGGTCCCAACCACTGACTGCCTGTAGGCTAGCGGCTGCACCCCACCTGCCTTCCAGAGCTCAAGATTCCCTGCCCCTAGCCTGACCACCTCAAAGCTTTGGGAAAACAAACACGTCAGCACTTCCCACCAAAGGCTGGTCCCCTACAGGAGGACAGAGGGATGGCACAATGAAAGTGATATTTCAAGATGGCGGCCCTGGGGAGGGAAGGGCGATCAGCCAGGCGGCCATTGGAGGAGCTCCATGGGAGGGGCCGAAGGGCTGAACTACAGGGAGAGAAGAGGGAGGCTGCTACCTCCGAGTCCTCACTGAAGTCTTCTGTCACCGTGGAGGACGACGCTTGCCGACGGAGCTTCGTTTCGTACACCATGATGCTCCACCTGGGCATGGGAAACCACCAGTTACCATCATGATCTGCTGGGGCAGGAAGGGAGAGCCCCAGGGCCGACAACAGTGACCCCTTCCCATAGGCACCTGGCCGGGCTCTAGCTCTCTGTCCCTTAAACAAAGGAGAGCAAAGGGACTTCCTGAAAGGCAGGCGGTGTAGGCTGGACGCACAGACCTTCAGGGCTCATCCTACAGATGGGGAAACTGAGGCTCCCCCTTGAGCCTCCCAGAGGGCCCTCAGCTCCTGGCCCAGCTGGTGCAAGGGCCTCCCCAGAGCATCCCTAGAGGGGGCCCCCGCCGCCCATTTGCTCTGGCACAGTTCTCAAAGGAAAGTCTTTCCTGACATTCAGCCTAAACCTGAGTCTCTGTGAGTCCCCAGGGGTATGGGCTCTTCCAGAAGCATCTGTCTCCAGACACGTGAGCTCCGAGCCACCCCCTGGTCTGCTAGGCAAGGCCTTAAAAATGGAGAAGTGAAAATACCGCCCTCGACCGCACCAGCGAAGGGGGCACGCCCCCGGCCACCAGCCCGTACCATTGAGTCCTTTGGCTATCCGGCCTCCTTACGCTGTCTCCTGTGCTCAGTGGCTCCTGAGTCACCTTGGCGTGGGCCCCTCCATCCTCCAGAACAGAGGGCAACCCACCCCTGCCCTTCTCACCCTGGCAATCTGTGTCCCTGTCCTTCCTGCAAAAAGAACCACTGTGGAGAAACTCTCTGGGTCTGCAGGAAGAGAGCACGATCCCTGACGGTCCTGCCGTCACCCTGACTCTGGTGCTTGACTGACGTCTTTGATGGCGTCAATAATATAAAGGTTTAGTTACAGAGAGACGAGGCTTTCAAAACTGGGCTGCGACCTGACCCAGGGGTGTGTGACCAGCAGAAGCTGAAAAGACGGGGAGCAGCCTGCCCCTCAGGGTGGCCTCGCTTGGAACAGCTCTCAGCCGCTCCCCCTCCTAGGGGCATCCCCGAGCACAGGCCGAGCACACAGCAGGTGCCCCTGGGGGAACTTCCACCCGTGTCCCATCCTCTGTCCCCTCGATCGCCCGGTGGCCAGGGCAGGCAATGTACAGAGGCGAGAACCAGTGAGTAAACGTCCTGCATGCCTCCTTTTTGTTATGGGTGGGGCAGAGCGAGGAGCACAGCTGAGCAGAGCAGGCAGGGGCTTTTCCCCCAACCCGCATCATCCTGCCAAAGGCACCTCCCCGGGGTCCACAACCTCAGTCCATCCCTGGCACTGTCCCACATCCCCCCGAGCCCAAAGGGGAGCAGTCTGGTCGCTCCTGCCTCTGCAGGCCTGTCCACCCTCTGTGTGTACCTCCGTTAGCTCTCTGTGGACCCCCTGCCCCGCAGACCCCCCTAGCTGCCCACAGGACGTCCCTATGATGCCTGTCTGCCCGTGTTCTTCCTCTCCTCACCACTTCCAGGCTGACCCTTCCTTCCTCTTTACCTCATCCTCTCTCCTGCACACGGGAGTGCACGTACATCACGCACACACAAATGAGCACGGACGAGGGGAGGGGAGGGGAGGCTCAGGTTTGTTCACGCTGGACGCGTGTGATCACAGAGGATTAGAGTTGCCCACAAGGGTCCTCTGTGAAGAAGCATGGCCCAGGGCAGGCGGGCCCCTCAAGGCCCAGCTCTGGCCGCTGGGCCCTGGCTTTCGAGCCAGGGGATTCAGGGGTCCCTCTGAGCTTCCCCCACTCACCGGTCCAGCATTTTGGTGCTGGCTCTCTCCAGCTTCTCCAAAATCTGGGGGAGCTGGGTGTCATCGTCACAGGCGGAGCCCCAGCCCAGCACGCGAGCCAGGTCGTTTCCTGTACCAAGAGGCAACACTCCCAGCTGACACTGTAAGAAACAAGACACGCGTCAGCCGCCACACCGACCACCACCAGGAGGAGACGAGCCCCCCGAGCACCCGCCCAGCCCACCAGGGCGGCTGGTCACTGAGAAGCTGAGTGGGGGGCAGGCTTCTGCCTCTCAGGCCACAGCTTTGGCAGCAGCGGCGATCTTTCCATGTCCCAGGTGAGGCTGGTTTCACGGTCTCTGCAAAGTCCTCTCACACCTGGCCTCCCCTTTCTCTCAAAAGTGTGACCTGACCTCTCGTCTGGACCCTTCTTAGCAGCTGGGCACACCGCCGCAATGGCCTCCCATGTGGTCCCTGGCCCTTCCCTCCTCTTCTCTCCAATCCACCTTAATGAAGTCACTCCCCTGCTCATATGCAGCCTGATAAAGAGATGCCAGAGGCCCTGGATTCAAATCCAGCCTCCTCTGCCTACCACCTGGGTCATTCAGAGCCTATCGCTCAATGTTTCGGAGCCTCAGTTTCCTCATCTACTATATTAAGAGCTCAGATGGGGGTGCCTTTAATAGTCATCCCGCATCATGTGACAAAGGCATGCAAGGCCCCTCACAACCTGAGCCAGACACGCGCTCCTTCCTCATCCCTCTTCTAAGTTCCTGTCTTTGGCTTCTTTGAATCCCACCTGCCATGCACACAGTAGGCACTTAATAAAAGCTGGTTGATCAGTTGATTTCTCTGGTCATCAAGGCTACAAGGGGAATGTCTGTGACGCCTTTGTCGGCACTCCCTTGGCTTATGGCTCTCAGCCTCCTCTGAATGGCCTGGCTTTCTCTCTGGGGCCCTCCCGGGGAGCTGATCACCCACGGCCTTGCACCAGGCTCCTGTGCTCACAGGTAGGAGATGCCACCTCCTTCCTCCTACCTCCTGGCAAGGCTCAATGACAAGCCACTGAATGAAAGGGCAGACTCTTCCCCATGGGATGAGTCGAGTGTATTTCCTGACTTTCACCACCAGGGGGCAGTGCATGGCTCGCTGGGGCAGGTCCACTTTCCCCTTATTCCATGGCTTTCTCCTCATAGTGCTAAGCTATTCTGGGAGTTTGGCCCATGCCTCTGTCTGCCAAGCCTGGAAATCTGGCTGAGGACACATTTCAGGGAGCTTCCTTCTCTGCCTCTGCAAGGGCCCGAGAAAGTGGGGTCTGTGGGGAACAAGGAAGATGCCTGGAAGGGGCATCCTAAACACACAGGAGAAATCCAATGGACGGGCACAGTGCCAGAGACCCCGAGCTCCTGGGGATTCTAGAGGCCACGATTCCAATCCCCCCACTGTAGAGTTGAGGAAACTCCAGGGGCCCAAGAGGATGGATCAATGGCCTGTCCAGGGTCACAAGAGCAGGGATAAAGGGGGCAGGGGAATCAGTAATGATTTCCTTCCCTGCTAAAATACGCTTGTGAAAGGCAATGACATTTCCCAGGAGCTTTTCTGGCACCGTGCTTGGGTGTATTTCTTTCCCTGCCCCACAAGACGATGGCCCTGAACCTCCAGCGTCCAGCTTCCTGTCCTTTCCTGTCCTCTCTAATCCCTGGTCATCATCAGAGCCTTTCACTTCACCCCTAATTTACTCCTGACAGCCAGGGTTCTTAACCTGGAAACTCATTTCAAAAATATTTTGATAACGGTACTTCAATACAACTATTTTATGCATTTAAAAGGGGGAGAGGAATAAGCAGTGAAGCACCTCCTATGCACGAAGTGCTTTACAAATATCATTTCATTTAAACACTGGCATTTGTTCTGAGCAGCCGTCCCGAGGCTCCACCAGACTGCCCAAGCAGGCCATGACATCCAAAAGGTGGCGACCTCATGATCTAGAAGAGTCAGGCCCAGCCCCGTCTGGGCTTTGAGGCTGGGCTGCTGCCCTGCTCGCCGACGTGGCAGGGGACATACCTGCTTGTGAAGATTGAGGCTGTCAATCTCAGAGAGGACCCATCCGACACTGCCATCCCCACCACACACCAGAATCCGAAACGTGTCAAACTTCTGGAATAAACGTAAACTGTGGGGAAAAAGAAAACCCACCGTCACCAGACTTTGGTTAGTCTGGGTCATACACACCCTGCCTTCCCTGGTGGCAAGACGGAGCTCTCAGGAAGGCTGAAGTCTGGAGCTTTCCTCTTAGCTGATGCCCGCCGTGCCTGCTACCTGCCCCGATACCCCTGGTGTGCACACCGTGCCCGCTGCCTGCCATGATTCTCCTGGTGCGTTCACCATGCCCACTGCCTGCCCCGACCCCCCTGGTGTGCACACTGTGCCCGCTGCCTGGCCCGACCCCCCTGGTGCGCACTGTGCCCGCTGCCTGGCCCGACCCCCCCTGGTGTGCACACTGTGCCAGCCCCGACCCCCCTGGTGTGCACACTGTGCCAGCCCCGACCCCCCGGTGCACCTGCTGTACCCGCTGCCTGCCCTGACCCCCCATGTGCACACACTGTACCCGCTGCCTGCCCTGATATCCCTGGGGCACTCCTCTGGGGAGGAGACCAGAACAAAGCGGCCATCTCAGTGCCTGCGCCACCTTCAGCACGGCTTTAGTCGCTGCTCAGATGTCAGAGACAAGGGAGCCAGGCATCCTCCTAGACAGAGCCTGCTGGTAAGGGAGGGCTCCCTAACAGACCGGGGCCCCCAGCACTCATGGGAGCCGTCCCACCAGGGGGGCCTGGGCTCTAAGATAAAGAGGACTTAGACAGCTCTTCCCTAAGGCTAACAAAGCACTCTGCTCCCAGGCAGCCCAGGTACTGACTTCCCTTACACAGACAGCTCGGAAGGGTCTGAGGGGTGTGGACACAGCTCTTCTGCACAGTGCCTGCCCCAAATGGGGGTGGCCCCTAAAGGGTCTCTGAGTCCCACCACGGGACGACCCCTGGGCCCTGCTGTGGGGACCTTGGCCCTCTCCCCAACGCAGACAACTGCCCCATGACACTGGCTCCCGTCTGGATGCCTGCTTTGGGAAGATGGGGTCAGCATGCTCTTAGGAATGACGTTCCTGCAGAAAGGAGTAAACTGAGGTCAAACCAAACCAAACGTTGCCAGAGTCAGCAAAGCCTTGGGAGGGGCACAAGGTGTTCCTGGCCCAGGCTGGGTTTGGCAGCCATCAGACAGGAGAGTGCCCTGGCTGTGTCACGGTGTCACATTACCGGGGACTCGGCTTCCCCCAGCCACAGAATCCTCGATGACTTAAGGTCAACTCCACAGTCAGAGAACAGGTTTGGCAGGGACATTTGCAAACCAAGTATCCTGCCAGGGCTCCTTTCAGTACTGGACCTGGGCCTTCTAAAAGGCTCCATATCACATCAAGCTTCCTCTCAAGGGGAGAGAAGGCAGCTGGCGTCAAAGACAGAAGCCCCCGGCGTGGCCTACAGACGTCACCACGGACAGACATTAAACCAGAAAGGAAGAACAGAAGACACGGACCAGACCTCTCTTGTCTGAGCATCTGGGAAGGGTCTGGGGAAGCAGGACTAGCCGCGGACACAGCTCCCATCTCCTGCCCATGTCCACATCTGCATCCGTGGGTGAACAAGGATACTTTAGATTTACTCCCAGCTGAGGGGGAAGAAGGGAGAGGAGGGGAAAGAAGAAAGGAAAGAATGAGAGATAAAGGGAAGAAGATAAAGAGAAAGATGGGGAGAGAAAGAGAGGGAGAAAAAGAGAAGGATGGGGAGTGAGAGGGAGAGGAAGAGAAGGATGGGGAGAGGAAGAGAAGGATGGGGAGAGAAAGACGGAGAGGGAGAGGGAGAGTTAGAGAAGGATGGGGAGAGAAAGAGGGAAAGGGAGAGGAAGAGAAGGATGGGGAGAGAAAGAGAAGGATGGGGAGA